TTCAAGAAAATATTATTTTTCTAAAACTTTTTAAAGATTTTTTTCCTTTTATATCGTACAAATATCAACTTTCATAAGACCTTCTTCAAAGACTTCCAAAACTTTGAATCTTAAAAAGATGAATGAAATGAAAATTGTTGCATGAAAAAATTTCATTTTCAAGCTTCATTTTGATGCATTTCAATTTAAATATTAATTTTTGGAGTTATCCTTTCTGGCTGAGGATCGGATATCCTTAAGAAAAGTTTCATATCCACTATGTTGCCATACGGGGGGCATCAGTATTTCACAAACACATCTTGTTTTTTTTTTTATTTCATCTTTCTCGGCTCCTTTTAATGAAATCTTTTTGATTTTTGATTTTTTTTTCGAAAACTTTAACCTTGCCCATAACTATTAATTAAATGGAGCTAAGACTTTTATATTTCACATGTGTATTCCTTGTGACAAGACCTTTCGTTAGGTACCACCAAATTTGACCTTGACCTTGGAGTTTGACCCACTTTTACAAAAAAATTCCAAACTTTTTCTTTGGCCATATCTTTTGAACAGTAGATACCAGGACATTCATACTTCACGTATGTATTCTTTGTGGAAAGACCTTTAATTGGATACCAACAACCTTGTCCTTTTGACCTTGCCCTTGGAGATTTCTGTACTTACGAAAAATGTTAAACCTTGGCCATAACTTTAGAACACTAAGGACTAGTGATCTCATACTTCACATATGTAATTCTTGTGAAAAAACCGTTCATTGGATACCAAGAACTTCGATCCTTTGACCTTGGAGTTTGAGCTACTTTTAAAAAAAGCAAACCTTGACCATACCTTTTAAAGGTTTAGGGCTAGAGCTTTCATACTTTACATATTTAATCCTTTTGACAATACCTTTCAATACCTTTGACCTTTTGACCTTAAAGTTAAGGTCAATGGGCTTCCATACTTACACACATATTTTTTCGTGGCAAGACGCTTCATTGGATACCAATTATCTTGACCTTGGAGATTTCCGTACTTATGAAAAAACTTTAACCTTCACATACATGTGCTTTCATATTTCAAAATTGTATTTCCAGTGAGAATACCCCACTTTTGGTACAAATATATTAAATTTGCAGTTAAGAAAAGTTTAATCTTTGCTATGTCTCCATACAGGGGCATCTGTGTTTCACAAACACATCTTGTTCTGATGCAGTTATCATAAGAATTGTTTATCCACGCAGAACCAACTACTTTTATTTAAATTGACAGTCACATGATAAGTAGAAATATGATCACCGTATGAGTCATTGATTGTATGTTGTTTGACGTCCCTGTCGAGAATTTTTCACTCATATGGATCATCGTATGGATGTCATATAAACAGTCACTATTGCAAAGGTATATCCCTTTCAACTTAAAAATCTCAGTGATATATTGTTTCTAAACATTTTGTTATTTCTGGAATGTGTTTCAGCTTTTTATAGAATTCACACATTAATTTGATAAGTTTGAATTATAATCATACAAATATTTAGCATCACATCAAGTTGAAATTTTTTAAATCTTTACCAAGTATTTCATGCTCTCCACTGATTGTCTCTTATGGTAATTGCTTCTATTGAAAGTATATTTGTCATTTATTTCCGATAAAAAATGATTTAAAGAAGACCTTTAAAAAGTTATTAACAGAAAAGTTAAGGAAATCAAAATTCTTTGAAATGTAAACACAAACAACTGTATCAAGTTTAGTATAATAATGAATTGATTATGTATAAAATATCATTTTGTGCTATAAACCACCCTGCAAAACTGCAATTTATTTTCAAAACCCTTTGTTTGCTTATCTGCAAACACTTGACATTGCTTCACAACTTAACGATTTTCCCTCTCTTATCTGTATTTACGTATATTTTGATTTATCTTTTTAAAAAAATACGACCGTTGCATGTGTTTACTTGTATTTCATTTCTCTTTTCCTCGACTTTGTTAATGTTATCAGGTAAGTTTTAATATATACATGTTGTAATAGTCTATTGAACATTAGAGTATATAACATTTAAAATAGAAAAAAATGAATACCTCAGAGCATTTCTCATTATATGTACAATAGGGAAAACATAAAGGTGTGCTCATCAAAATAAATCCTACAGACACAAACTTCCAACTTCTGTGTATCGTGTCTAGGGGCTAAGTCTCACGTTATTGCTAGGGTATGTGATTATGAATCAATTTTTGAATTGATTTTGCGAGAATGCAAAGGAACAAGCAACGGAGAAGCGCGAATTTAGATCCGAAAGTGGGAATGTAAAGGCGCCTTTAGCGTTTTCGCGTTTGCACCTTTGCATTCAGCTTTCTTTTTAGCAGAGCTCGAGATCTACTCTCCACCTTTTGAAGATAATTTTTGTTATAAAAAGAGTCTCTGAGGAGAACCAGCATATGCCTTCTTCAAAGGGGAGGTAATTGAGAGTTTGTGAAAAAAGTTCTTTCAAAACTCTTTTACTCAAAAACATTTTGCTGGAAAATGAGAAACTCATGTGGAATCATCATTTGGTAGTTCAGATACAAATGAATTCAAATCATGACCCCTCGCGGAAGGGTGGGGCACAGTAGGCGATCAAATTTACATAGGAATACATAGGGGGAAATTTTAAAAATCGTTAATCAAATTATGACCCACGGGGATAATTTGGGTCCACAATCATTAATCTAAAAAAGAAATTGATATTTAAAAATTTTCTTCTCAATTAAGAATAACAAAGCCATGATTTGTCATATTTATATGGAAGAGCAATCAAGTCTGTGTAAATCCCTTTTTTTTATGTCAACATGCAAAATAATTATGTCGACAAGTTACCAATCTCTTTAGAGAATCTAATTATTAGAATAGTGGTAAACGTACTAAGATGGCATATATCTGCACCCTACATGCAAGATAAACTATGTTAACAGGCAAGATAAAAATGTCATATTGCAAGAAGATTATTTCAACGTGCGAGATAATTACACATGTCTATATTTCAAGAAAATTATGTCTGCATGAAAGTTAAATGTACAAATCTTATTGAAGAAAATAATTTAAGTATGGGTAAAATCATAGGCGCCTGGGGTATGGACCCCCCCCTTTCCAATTTTTTTCTTTTTAAATCTGGGGTTGAGTCACCTTTTCCCTATTTTTCTATTCTAATATGCACTATGTGTTATCAATAATGTAACTCTTTTGTCTCTACAAGCTGTTTTTAAATATGTCGTTTTCGACTGATACATCTTTATATGTATCAGTCGAAAACGACATATTTAAAAACAGCTTGTAGAGACAAAAGAGTTACATTATTGATAACATATAGTGCATATTAGAATAGAAAAATAGGGAAAAGGTGACTCAACCCCAGATTTAAAAAGAAAAAAATTGGAAAGGGGGGGGGCATACCCCAAGCGCCTATGGGTAAAATTACTTACAAATGCAACTTTCTGACATCAAACTTGCAAGATGCAACAATATATTAAAATAGAAGTCGGCATCACATGATAAGAAGAGTATTTTTATATTTTTAATATTATTGAAAAAGATAATGCCCTTTCCCTGAACTTGCTTCTAAAATAAAATCTAATTCAAGACACCACATGTCTTCATAATTCTGTGATACTTTTATTAGTTTTTAAATGCAAACAAAATATGGGAAGAATCCATCCTTAAGATTTGTCGTTAGAGATTTTTTTTTAAAGTTCAAAACTTAGCAAAAAAGTTTTTTTTTTTGTTAGAAGGACCACTAGTCTGCAATTAGGCCTGGACTCTTTATGATGGACTCAACCGATGTCGACCTGTCACAGTTCCCACCTTACACAGTTATGTTGTGGAAAAAATTTATAGGAAACCCACAACTATTATATAATCTGTTTTGTACAAGCTATCCGTCGGACCGTGTTCTGGATATGACAGGAATTTGGATCAACTCAAAACTGAAGTAAGAAAGGGGGAATCTAATGGATGATTTACTTTACGGGTATAATTGGCCCATATGGTAGATTCTGAATATTTCATGGGGAAGGAAACTATCCAATTAATGTATATAAACATGAAATGGAAACCAGGAAGAAATCAATCAGCATTAGACTTCCAAATATAATTTCATTAAATTACACTGTTTCCAGGAATTCCTTACTCTTATTAGGTAATATATTGAAAGGATATGGAGATAACGAATAGTATTCAATATCGAAGTCCATTAAACAATACAAAATAGGAGCAGAGCAAACACGGACCTCCAAAACATCAGAGATGGGATCAGGTGCCATGGAGGAGTGAGCATCCCCTGCTGACCGGTCACACCCGCCGTGTGCTCCTTGAAATATATGGAGCCAACGAACAATATTTCATTAAACAATACAAATCAGGGTCAGAGCACAATGCGAACATCAAAGGTGGGATTAGGTGCCATGGAGAAGAGTAAGCAAAGTATTAACGCTGTATTCAATTTATATACACATGTGCATTTTTTATATGAATAAATTAAGAAATTAACTCCATGTGCTTCATTACTTCCTTTATTACAGGGAGTTAAAGGTGGATAATTTAGAAGAACTACAGCGATTGAGAAATGATCTCTTGACAAAGCCTATATTATTCCACGTCAAAGTAACGCACCTAACAAGAAATGACCATGAGGGCGTACTTAAACCGAGGAGCTGGACAAGTAGGCTACTGAAAAATAGCTTTATATTAAAGAGATTAAATCAGCCTTATTTAAAGACACAATTTCTAAAATTTTAGGTCTTAATGGTCGGTGTGTTTACTTTGATTGCAAACATAGAATATTACACGTGTAAACAGTCGAAACCAGGAAATATTCTTATCCAAGGCACTTGATCACACCTCTGGTATATTCTTGGGATGCAATTGTAATGTTCAACATTTATATGTTGTTTTTTCCTTTGAAAATTGAGCAATGTTATTTTTACCTTCATTGTTTTTCAAAACGAATATCACAATTTTTATAATACGCACAAATCTTGCCTAATTATCTATTATTATTAATAATACGATTCACCATATTGTGGTTTAAATATGAATATAACGAACAGTTATCCTTAACAAGTCAAAAGTTTGCTAGTTTGAAGCTGCGTTAACACGGTCGGACCACTAAAATGTCAGGGGTGAGATCAGCTGCCATGGAAGAGTAAGCATTCCCTGTAGACCAGTCAAACCCGCCCTGTGCTAAATACTGGGCAAACGTTAACGGTATCAGTTTACAATTAAGTGTTAATAATGGACTACAATTTAGCATGAAAACATTTTGAAAGTTCTTTGGTCGAGCCAATTGCTTTGTTAGCAAATACAATCAATCGTTCGTTCAAATGCTGATTGACGCTTCACATGCTAATTGATGGATTATCATTTACACATGATTTTCTCCGATCATGTCAAGGGGCACGTGGCGGGTGGGGCGTTCATCAGTGGGTACTTAGCCCTTTTGTTGTTTCAATGGTTAGCTCTACTACTGTTTTGTATCTTCGTCTTTTATGTAGAGCAGTTTGTCGTCCTCGTAAACACCAGACATCCATCCATTCGGGAAATCCTCTCACACAAACTCAATGAGATCACACAGAAAATGCAAGAGGGTGAAAAGTTCTGTCTAAAGGTAGGACATGGCCATGCCTTCTGGTTTCTTTTTGAAATTGTAAACCTTGAAGAAAACTTGATTGTTTGATACTACATGTGTTTCAATTCCCATCATAAAATGATCTTTTTTAATTGAATTCAAATTTCTTGTCTAAATGTATTTTTTATGTTTTAATGTTGATATTTTGTTTGAATTCTATTATCAAATTAAAATAACATTTTATAAGTCTTTTAACAATGATGAAAATTTAGAAGAGCATTCAGGAAGAATGACCATCACATGTTGATCTACCGGAGAACATTTTACAGCTGGATTTTGGTCCCCCTGTTCAGCAGTGGTTCAGTGGAGTGGTGGATCCATACTTTTACTGGGATAGTTCCCGCAGCAGCACTGACTTCGGGCACATGGAGATCTTTATCCACAACTACACCACGCCCATAAAGTGCTGTAGTGATCCGCTTTTAATCCTTCTCTGTTTTCCCTTCTGGTTGCTCTTTGGAGGCTCATGCTACTGGGTTAGTCAATTTATTTGTATAAAAATTATGATGATCATATTTGCTCTCATTTGGTTCATTTGCTACCAATGCATCTGCAAAGTCAGAGCAGGTAAACAGATCGATTTTAAATGACGGAAGCATATCTTTATTATTCCCCTTCAATGTTGGGTTAACTTTCCAATAAATATAACCAAATTGATATTCAAAAGGTCAGGTTGGTCTATTTATCCTCAGAAGGAGACCCACACACATACAGGCAATCAATTACATGTATTGATATTGATATTTATCTTTTAAGGGATTTTCCTTGCTTTAGAATTTCAAAAATTGCCCTTATAACATTTAGCAAAATGAACAATTCCAGAATATTCCAGATTATTGTGAAGTTTTTCAGAAATCCTTGTTAATTTCTGAAAGTATTTTGAACAGCGTTATACAGTGTATATATGTATTGTAGCGTTTGTATTTTTTTTAATGTTTTTTTTTTTGGATATAGGGTTTCAAACTTGGATAAAATGGTAAAAATCCTTCAAGTTAAATTTCAAATTGTTGCAAAGGTCATAAAAAAGTGGAAGTTGACAATTGGTGCCATATGCTATTGAGATCTTAAAATCTTCACGTGTCACATATCTATAGCCCACCAGTTTGTTTTTTTTAAATTTTATATGTCATTTGTCGTCAATCTTTGTGCAATTATTTCGTTTGTTTGTTAGTTCTTCTAGAATTCCAAGCCAGTTCCGCCAAAAATTTTCCAAAAAGCAGAATTCTTGGGTAGGGGAATTTAAATTTGTACAAATGAAGGGCCATTATGCTTTCATGGGGGAAAATAAATTTTAGAGAATCTTTTCAAACTATTTTTCTCAAAAACCTCTCAAAGTTTAGTCAACTCATGACCTCAATTTTCTATGGGACTACAAAAAGCTATCAAATGCCAACAATAAAATATCACAAAGAACTTCAAAAATATTTTCTTTTCATGAAAAAAAAAACAAACTATGATGAGCCCTTGAAATATGAAAACACCCTTAGGTGGTGTTCATTTTTTTTTTAATTTCCAAAGTTATTTTAACGATCCTAGAATGCTGACTTTCATCGGCATTGTTTTATGATTGAAATTATAAGCCTACCGTTTATGAACTCATAAGTGAGTTTACCTCGTATTCTTGTACAGTACATGTAATAAGCTACTTTAGCTAGATTGTAAACTAAGTCTGGTTCGTGATATTATAAGATTGTGTGAAATACTTTTCAGATTCACAGAATAATAAAATGCACGGATGACGTTTGTGAAATCCATGATTGCCCCGTGGTGATTAAATGAAAGCACCAATGACCTCTTTGAATCCCATGGTTTTATCCAATGTGATTGGGTGAATACACTGATGACGTCTGTGAATTTCAGGATTGTCCCGTGGTGATTGGATGATTTCAATAAAGACGTGGGATTACATGTACTATTAGAATTATCACTCTATCGGGATTAATGTTCCTTACGTTCATGGCAATACTTGTTTAATTTTTCAAATACGTTTCGTCGATATTTCAAAAAATATATGCTTATATATATACATGGATGTAAAATTAAGAATTTTTCCTTACCACATTACCGATATATAATATTCATAATTTATATTTTCCATTCTAGCAAAAATATTGCTGCAAGGTATTTTTCATGAAATATGAGCAAGTACCTTAGACACATTTCGGCCATATATTTTTTTGTTGTACACTGTCAAATTAAATTTATTGCACGATCTACCTTATAATCAACTTAAAAACTGAAAAATGTTTAATTTATATGGTAAAAAATTGTAGCATGCCTATACTATTCTTTTCTCAATGATGATCATGTTTTCTCTTATATCAAAACTACTGGTCTAGTTTCGACAAAATACTTTTTAAAAGTATTCATCATGTAGATATGAAGTAGAATTTGTACAAAATTTTATATGTGAAAAGAAAAAAAAAACACTTGCTGTTGCCTTCAACTCGATATATAGATATGTATACAACGACGCAATATATATCACGATGAGCTTGAAATAAAAGATACTGTCCTCTACAAAAATTTGAATTTTTCAAATAAAATTTGTGTAGAGGACAATACCTCAGAGTCTGACACATCTGTATCATTTTTGGATATATTACTAGAAAAGGACTTTTCATGTTAACAATGCTTTATGATAAACGTTGTGACATTAACTTTTCAATTGCCAAGGCAAATACATGTACCCTTATCACCTGCATACGGTCCCTCAATTATTTCGGTACGTAAGAGCATGCTCTACTTACGAACAAATTCTAAAACGAGGCAAGCTATTTACAAACATGTTATTGAAAAAAGAATATCAGCGGTCTCGTAAACAACTATTTCTTTGCAATTTGATACAATGAACTTATATAGGACATATACTTGTACTTGCAATTTCAGATTTAAAAAAAAAGATAGTTTCCTTAACTCAATATGCTTATATGTTTTAATTCTATTGTATGTTGTGGATATCCTCAATAACCGGTTGAGATAGGTATTGTTTCGAATTGTGCAAACATTTTTTTTTTAAAAGTGTGGCGATTTTGAGAATGTTATTTCCCAAGTATCCCTGTATTCCACCACTATATTTAAAATTAAAGACTACACCTTGTATTTCCTACAAATATACATCGACCATTGCTTCAAAACTTTTTAATTGCAAAAAAACTTTACATGGCGTGGATATCGAGTATTTGAAACATAATCCTCCATGGTGTTCATGTTCTTCTTCACCCTATAACTAATTAAGTCCTGGTGGACACGTTATCATAGGTGACGTGAATATAATTAATAATGAGGGTCTTAGATCATTGATTTTTAAAGTTCCTAAATACAGGGAATCTCATTCCTCCAACTAGCGTTGGAATTTCAAAAATATTATGGATTCTGTTGACGATGGGCAGGATATGAAAAAGAAAACATTGGAACTTTCTCAGAATGGATTAAATGTGTCAGATCCATGTTGAAATCATGTATTGAAAGATTGAAGGGCAATATGAAATCATCTGTACTTTTCTTTTCAATAAAACGGAAGTGAAAAAGAATTAGATAGGTTACATGATGAGTACTTGTACGTAATGGTCCCTGTTGACAACCAGGTAAAACATTGTCTTTGTTTGTAAGGCTCTTTATATAAATTGTATTTTAGAAGAACTTGAATTTAGTTCTACAAGTAGTATCCAACTTATACTCATAGTCCCCTTTCTAAGGAAGAAAATCTTCAAATTCATGTCCGTTTTAATTTTTTTTAATATCCCCGACAACCAAAATGGTGTAAATCAGATGTGGATACTTCAAAATTCAATGGAACTTTTAGATGATTTGAAATCATAAGATTTTACCAAAATCAACAACTTAAACACTTACGAATTTTCAATTTTATACACAGCCACTCCCCATGATAAATTAAAGTCCAGGCTTTTTGATATTTTTTTTAATATCTACTGGAATTTTCATCGGTACCAATTGCACCCTGTCATTAGTAGACCTATTTTTGTATTCATAGGAAGCAAAATTTGTGCAAAATTTCATGCGTAAAAAGAAGAAAGCCATTTCTGTGGCATTTAACTCGATATTTAGTAATATGAACGACATATTGTAAAAAGACAATGGTAATTTCCATTCTTATGTTGATAGGATATATCCTTGTGAGTTTGAGATAAAAGATACCACGGAGTTTGACACATCTGCTTTATATTTTATTATGTTTCTTGAAAAAGACAAAAGATAATGGTAATCTAAAAACCAAGTTATATGATGAGCGTCTAACTTTTCTATCGTCAACTTCCCTTCACTAATACAATACAGCAATATACCTCCATCACCTACATAAGGAGTTTCATTACATATCTGAGTTGATTTGATACACAAAAACATGCACTAAGTATAAACAATTTCTAAAAAGAGGTAAATTATTGAGAAACAAGTTGATGAAGCAAGAGTATCAGCAGTCTTGTTTAAAGCCTTTATTTCGTAAGTTCTATGGTTGATACAATGACTCTGTCAGCAAATACATTTTATCATTGAGTCAATTGTTGGGATCAAGTGCCATGGAGGAGTGAGCATCCCCTGCCGACCGGTCACAACCGCCTCTACTTTTCATGATCGGGAAATAACGGAAGAATCTTTCGTTAATACAGTGTATTATAATGGATTAACAATTAGTACGAAAAACATCAGTCAGCATTTGACTAAATGATAAATTGTATTTGCTGACAAGGTCATTGTATCGACCATAGAACTTACAAAATGATGATTTTAAACAAGACTACTGATATTTTTGTATTGAATCAACTGAGATGTATAAACAACGTATGTGACAAATGTATATTGCTGCATAAATAAAGGGAGTTGTTGTTTAACGCCGAGTCGGCAATATTTCAGCCATGTTTCCGCGGTAGGAAGTATTACAAACACTTACGATGTAGCTACATGTACAACAAAGAAAAAGATTGACGTTTAGTTTCCTTATCCAGGGATGTTGTTTTTAACAGAAATGTGTACTTAATTATCAAGGTTTTAATCTTCACTTTCGTTTCTTTAATGGCATGGTATTTTTAATCAATTAATATTTGCCTGATAGATTCTTCCATGTACTTACTTACTATTAATAGCTTAAACGTGAAATCATACGAGTACATCACAAAACAGAGGAGGAAAGTATTAACTTTATTTTCCGTACGAAAGATAGATTACAGGTAAGAGTTCTCTGTGTATGATATATATGGTATTCCTTACATAATTGTTGTCATCCTAAAATATTAATCGGTTTTTTACTTAAAATGTAAAGAAAATGAAAGTAACTTGGGTTGATTGTATAGTATTGTAGAACAGAAAATGTTTTATAACCTAAAGCTATTGATTTCTACTAATTTACTAATTTTATGTAACTGTTTTAATGCTAAATTGTTTTATTTTTAGCAATTTGAAATTGACATGAACCAGATACAGGTACATAACAGGAGAGTTGTAAGTAGAGCCAAAGAAGGAGATTTACTGGAATTTCCCAGAGGATTTTACTCGCACTGGGCTGTTTATATAGTTATTTCTTATATTCATTGAATTTTGATAAAAATCATCCTAAAATTAATAATAAAATATTTGTTTACGAGTAGTGCAAATATGAGGAAGTATTTTTTAAAGCAAAATACCTGGATATAAGAATTTTCTAATTACCTGATCCCTTCTCTGACGTTTTGGAGGCGCGTGTTTGGTCTGGTCCTATTTTGTATTATTTTATGGACTTCTGATCTAGAATACAGTACGTTATTTCCATATGTTTCATAACTCACCATTAATACTATAATTCCATGTGATTCGATACATTTTTTTTATTTTTTATTTACTTAGTGCTGTAGTTTTGTGAAAATGTTAGGTAAAATAATTGAAAAGTAAATAAATGCTTGTTATTTGACAATAGAAGTTATAAAAGTTATAGTTATATTGATTTAAGACATTGTGTAAAATTCTTGTTTTAAAGTGTTTGAACTGTATTTGAAAAAAAATGAATTGCATAAAAAAGAAAACATTATTCAAAGGAAACCATGATCAAAAGATGGAAATCAGTGCATTATTATTTAACTTTAAAGGAAACGAGGAAGTTGTACATTTAGCTGGTATAAATAATGATGGAATCAATGGGAACTTAAACCCTAGCCACGTCTTTTCCATTTGTGGAAAGACTTACAAAAAGGCCGAGGTCAAAAGGGAAAACTTCTGGAGAGTGGTTGAAGATTCTGAGGCAAAAATAAACAACGACAAGGACAGGAAATGCAGGTTCCTAGCAAAATAAATGAAAGTCATTTTCCTTGTAAAGTATATAAAAATTTTGGGGGAAAATGTGTTTCTAATATAAACTTGAACTAAAATTATATATATATATATATATATATATATATATATATATATATATATATATATATATATATATATATATATATATATATATAATAATAATAATAACTAGAAACGATCTCGTTGCTAGCAACGAGAGGTCTTCCGTCCGATTCAGGAAAAAAAATCTCGTATAATCGAGCTGAAAAGTGATTCAAAATTTTGGTCGCAAAGAGGATTGAACCCATGTCGCCTTTTTCTGTTTTATCCCCAACGCGCAAACCATAAAGCTTTTGGGAGTACTGCTCTAAACTTGTGTGTATACTTTTGCAACAGTACACCTGTCTAAGAATCATAAAAGGCGGGTCACTATCAATAATATGCGCCAAACGCCACGAGTAAATATTCGTGCATTTTCATACATTTTATTTGCTAAAAACTCGACTCTGCAGAACCAAAGAAGGTTTTCTACAGGTCCATTCCCCATCACGGGGAAGACCTTACCTGCACATTGGCACCATGTGTATTACCCGCGCAGCC